ATGTACATGGCCTTGAAGCCAAGATTCATTGCAATTCGGGCGGACAATCCATCGTATACACCGGGGCAAATGATCAATTCGTTGCTTTCTTTTAATTGCCTTCGCAGCTTGGACGCGCCCGTCACCAGCTGGAGGTTGACAATAGGCTCCTGCCGCGAGCCGTTGATATCGTAGTAGCCGTCCTGCTCGACGGTGATGGTGATTGTGTTCGTCATGCTGATGGTGGAGGCGGAGTCAGGGGTATCAGCTACTTTCATTGTTATTAGAGAGAAAAGATGTGATGAGGAAGAGAAGGAGATGAGCTGATGATGATTGACAGCAATGGACGGGTCCGTCAGGGAGCTTTATATCTATTCATCTGCCTCTGGTCTCGGGGCAATGTCTGTCCGCGAGGCAATAATCGCTTGCCATGAGGACAGTGTCATATCGCTGTCTAGAACCGGCATCAGTTTCCTGCAACCCCCTCTCGGATCATACTTGTTGTAACTCAAGGCCTTGGCCGACGATTATCGTCGTCAACTCCGACCAGATATTGATACTAGGCATTCTTGGCCGCTACTGCAGCTGGACACCCCCATCCAGTTCGTCAATGATCGTGATTTGTTCTTGTGATGAGCCGAGCACGCCTAACTGTGATCCGACAAGAAAGCAGATAAGCTCTGAGTTCTTCGTTGAGGTTCTCTCAATGACTGGCTGGCTGAACTGGAAGAAAATAATACGGGTAGAAGGCTGATAGGGTGTTAGGACCGGATACGCGCCTCAAGGGCTCCGATAATACCTTCTAAGGTTCGCTCTGAATCCTGCGCCGGGGAAGTTTGGTCGTGCCGGGGGTGGTACAGTACAGCAGGATGGCCACCGAGGGGGTGGAGACAGAGCACCAGTTCCCAACCGGATTAGGATGCATGTCAGACATTTGATCACGCACAGAGCTCCCGTCTTCAGAGAATTGTCTCGCTGCCCCCTCTCCTCCGGCTTTTCTGGGTCGCTAGTCCGCGGTGTTGATTGGTGACTGGCCACGCTGATCTGCACGAATAGAGTCGTAAGCGGCTCGGCTGATGCACCGGAAGTTAAACGACATCCCACTACGGAGCTTGGGGGCAGTCTTGCCGTGAAGGACGTGGACCCATGGTTGGCGGAGAATCCGGGCAGCAGTAGTGTCGGAGGTAATCAGTCAGGATGGAGGGGGGTGAAGGATGGTGGATGCGTGCTGATAGCTACACAGAAATCCGACGGCAAAGCCGAAATCTCACTGGATAGCTGCACTGGGTACTATCATCGCCGAGATTAGACTGCATTCACGCGCAGGGGCCAAGTAGCTTGGCACGTTGGTCGTGTCAGTCCTCGACCTTGACGCCATGCGCTCGCTGATCACTTCTCCTCTGGTGCTTTAACTGGTGGTATACACTCCGCGTGTTGTCCGTCTGTGACCATTTGTGTAACCGACTGGATCGTAAAACCTCGCAAGGGGTTCGACCCGGAGACTTGGTCGTGCGCAGGAACCAAGTGCCCGATGCGGCGTCGAAGAACGGCCTGTTTCGGTTGGGTGGTGGCTAGTCCACTGCTTGGATGGCATAATTGCGAATGTATCGCCCTGAAAGGCCGATCATACAGAGACTATCGACGAGAATCCATAGGGCTATACGAGACGCGAAAGAGGAGCAGGAGGCAGAGCATTGGCAGGAGTCGAGTGAGTACTGAGGTAGGTAGTAGGCGTAGGCTCGGACCACGATGGACGTCGCGCGCAAATCACCCGATTGGCCGTTTAGCGTAGATTGGCCGAAGCCAGCTGTTCCGCTCAACTCCGTATTTGTCCGGCTTGGCCGCCCTGAAGCTGTCGCAACCTAAACCTCCGCGGCAGGACCCGTTGCCTATCTTCTGCTTCAGGCCAGTCATGCTCAGCTCAGCTCAGCTCAGCTCACCTCACCTCACCTTACTCATGTTTTAATCCCCACACATGGTAGGAGAAAAGTGGGAGAGACACTGCTCAGCCTTGGGGCAACTTGAAAACTTCTCCACGAACTTGGCCGACAGCATCGTCTGGGGAGGGCGACGGGTCCGCAGTGGGTCTTAGCATTCTGCAGTTGCAGTGTTGATTGCACCTTGGCCCGATGCTAGCATGCGCACACGCCAACATGACCCATTAGGCATCTTCGGAGCGATGAAGCGAGAGGGGTTCGGAAAAGCACAAATCCGTCGATTACTGCTCACAGTTGGTCCGGACTTCAATTGCCCATGCGTGTTTGACACGGCGTGCGGCGTCTCGATCATTCTCCGCGACAGGCAGTGCTTTCCAGCGCGGGGCGCCTAATCATCCATTTTCTGGGCTACAATGTGGTGGGCGGAAAGGGCCAAATCGTGTTGCGCGTGATCGACAATTTCATTCACAACCGCCAAGAAAACCCTGAGCATTCTTGGTGGCGATGAAGGTGCCCCCTCGCTTGTCACAGTTGCATCCCCTTTGAGAGACCGGATTCTGACTCGATTGGTTCGAATCCGACCGCACAGGGTCGAAGAATCGCGGTTAGATGTGCTAGCCGTCAGTATCGTAGGCAGCAAGTCAGGTCCGTGACCACTTAGTCAACCAGCTGTCATGCTCCGTCTTGGGGCTAAAGAAGGTAAGTTCGCAGCACAATCTCTCTGACATTCTCTCTCCAGAGTGAGTCTTGCATCGGTTCTGACCGTCATTGTGCTCCTACAGCCACCCAGGGGTTGTGATCCGCATATCCGTATGGCACCCACGAGTGTCGGAAGTATTTCTCCAGCACCACCTGCTGGTAGGTCATGTCATCGACACAATACCCACCCCCGCCGGGCCCAATGTGGGGACAATGTACGGGCGGATTGAATCGCACCATGTTGTCGTGCACTTCGCGACACAGCAAGGTGTTCCGGCCCATCTCGTATGGCAAGCCGAAGCGGACGCTCTGGGTCAAGAACACAATACAATCTTCCTTGGAGGTGTACTGCAGGTTTGCCCCGTGGCAGTGGTCCTGGTGTGTCTGGCAGATGGTGTCTGCAAGCAGAGCAGCCACTCTGTTCTGTATCTGGACTGAATCGTTCAGATGGAACATCTTCCCCGCTGCCTGCATGAGAGGAACGAAGAGATAGTCTAGCCAGCGGAAGACGGCGTCATACTGAGTGATCTTGCCGGAGGAGTCGTACTGGAACCAGGTGTCAATCGCGGCGGGCACCACCAGCTGGAAGGTGGTGATGTTGAAGGTGATGAGGGTGGTGGCCGCAGCGGTGTTGTCGGTGGCCGCGAACTGGGTGATGTTGTACGCGATAGGAGGCCCGAAGATCCCGGGGTGGTCGGGCTGAGAAAAGAGACCGAAGATATACTCGTTGTTGAGTTCGCGACCGTCGAAGGTGCGAGTTGCGTGAACACGGCCTTGGACCTGCGATGGGGGAGGATATTAGAGAGATGTGGAAGCTGTGGAAATGGAAGTTGTGCGGGGAAGGGGGAAAAAGCGGCACGGCACTGAGTAAATACTGTACAAAACGGGCACCCACCAGCCGTCACCTGGTTGGCCGTGCTACCCATTATTGGTGGAGATGGGGAGGAACAAGTATAGAGATAGATTGGGAATACGATCCATTGCAACTGAAAATAGCACAACAGCACAATAGCACCTACATCGGCTGCGAAGATAGAGGAGTCGTTGGCTTCGATATGACCCCGGTTAGTGGGATAGAGGAAGTTCTGCCAGAAATAGTTCTGCAGCATCCACAGCTCGTGATAGGAGTAATGAGTGCCATTGGGGCTGGCACCAACTACAGTGCTAGCAATAAAATGGTATAGCAACAGGAGAAGCACCAACATGGTGTGGTAAAGTTGAAGAATGGATTAACTTGAAGATGCCTAGTGTCCGTCCGCTCTGACACAACACTACTTCTGCAGCCTGCCATGACCTATTTATATCTGCCATCTGCCTCCATCCCGTCCCGTCCTTGAAGGTGTCAATGCGCAGAGATCCCTCGGGGTCCTCCAACCAAACATCAATCCTGGTCGACCTGCGAGTATTATTGAATGGAAGTCTAGTCTGGCTGTTATTCCAACTCTTGAATGTCTTCCAGCGACCACAATCAATTTATCCGACCCGCTCTTTGCCCCACCCGCTGCATGCCTTTGCCTGCTGAGTAACGGGATGCCGTGTGATGAAGCCGCAAACATGCACGATCCTGATGGGCCCAATTCACTCCGATAGTTCTGTCTTCCCTCAAATGAGGATCGACCCTGAGGACAATCCATGTCCGATCCGCATGGGGGTCAGATCAGAAGAGGAGTTAGATTGGCTCTTCGCGCAATATGCCCCTTGGTGAACGGTCAGATGACAATCTCGGTCCGGGGTGAAGGGTAAGCTGCCCGACTTTCGGGATAGACGTCCACCATGCCTAAGATGGGCAATGCTTTGAGGGGCGGCGCAGAACTGGGGCAGTCAATTTGCCGGATCTTTCGGCAGACGATTGTCAAATGGCGGTGGCTGTACGTGATGATGGGATGCTGTGCGACCCCGTTCGAATTGCAATATGACGACATGCGGCATCTCAGCGATCAGAACAGAGACTGAGGGCAAGCTCAATTCAGCCAGACCCGGGCGGAGGATTACGGCTCTGACAGGATCATCTGGGTGGCTGAAACTGTTGGCCTAGAGGCCAATTCAAGAGAATCATAGTTGTCCGCTTATGCAAGTTTGCAAGAACAAGGAGACCAAATGAGGTTGATGCGCCATCAGACATATCAGTCATCACCACTGAAGCGATCACTAAGCAGCATAAGTCGGATCGGCAGTGAGTTTCGAGTCATCAAGAGCGAAGCTGACAGAGACTTATCTTTCTATTCGGATCAGTTGTTCCCCGCATCTCCGGTCGGAACACATTCCGAGGTGCGGAATGCCCACGGAATTGGTGCGGGGCAGCCTTATGCTCCCCCGTAGCCTGCTATATTAGAAGTATATCCTCCAGCACAACAGCTTGCACCAAGTCTGCTTCAAATACTTGCTTCGACAGACCTACAGCACAATGGCTTCCATCACACTTACCGGCTCCAAAGGCCGTCAAATCGAAGGTACCGCCGATATACCCCTCAACTAACTCCTCATCCTCGACATACCACTGACAGACTTTCTACAGTCCCAACCACCCTCTTCATCAACAACGAATTCACCCCCGCGGCCAACAATGCCACTCTGGCCGTCGAGAATCCCACCACCGGTGAGACCCTCGCAGACGTCTCCGCAGCCAGCCCGGAGGACATCGACCGCGCAGTGAAGGCAGCGACGGCCGCCTTCCCCGCATGGAAAGCCACCCCGGGGCCCGAGCGCGCCGCGCTGCTCCACAAACTGGCGAGTCTGATCGAGCGGGACGCAGAGGAATTCGCATCCATCGAGGCGCTTGAAGGCGGCATTCTGTACACGGACAGTTTGGGCCTGAATGTACCGCAGGCCGTGTCGACCATCCGGTACTACGCAGGGTGGGCAGACAAGATTGACGGCAAGACGCTGCACATCCCGGGAGGCGTGGCCTATACCTTCCGCGAGCCCTTGGGGGTCTGTGCGGCCATCGTACCTTGGAATGGACCACTGTAAGTGTGATGATCTATCTTCTTCACTGCACTGCATTGCAGGACATTCGTCACGACCTTAATCCTTATCCAATCCCCTTCTTCCCTCACGCCCCCCGAAACCTGGAAATCAGATACTGAAAAACCTGCTTCCAGAATGATAACAGCCTGGAAACTCGCCCCCGCTCTCGCCACCGGCAACACCCTCATCATCAAACCCTCCGAACTGACCCCGCTCAACGCCCTCAAACTGGCCCAACTGATCCGCGAAGCCGGATTCCCCGCGGGGGTGGTCAACATCGTGCCGGGCGACGGCCCCTCCGCGGGTGCCGCGCTCTCCCACCACCCGCACATCCGCAAACTTTCCTTCACGGGGTCCACCGCCGCGGGGCGCGCCATCCTCCGCGCCTCGGCCGCCAGCAACCTCAAGCAAGTGTCGCTGGAACTCGGCGGCAAGGGCCCGAGTCTCGTCTTCGCGGACTGCGACCTGGCCAACGCCCTCCTCTGGACGCGCATCGGCATCACCGCCAACAACGGGCAGATCTGCGCCGCCGGGTCGCGCATCTACGTCCAGCGGCCCATCTACGAGCAGTTCCTGGAAGCCTACGCGCAGGCCGCGGCGGAGAACCCGCCCGTGACCGGGAACCCGCTGGAGGAGACGACCACCAAGGGTCCCGTCGCTAGCAAGGCGCAGTTCGAGAAGATCCTCGGGTACATCGCCGAGGGGAAGAGCTCGGGTCGGCGGTTGTTGTTCGGCGGGGAGCCAGTCGGCGAGAAGGGGTATTTCGTGCAGAACACGGCGTTCGCGGATGTGGGGCAGTCGGATAAGATCATGCAGGAGGAGATCTTTGGGCCGGTTGCGGTAGGTTCTGTGGCTTTTCCTAATCTGTCTTTCAGTTTCTGTCGCAATTTGTGTCTGGTGGCTGATCTAACGCGGTGAGAACAGAGTATCGCCCCCTTCGACACGGAGGAAGACGCTATCCGCCTGGCCAACGATTCGCTGCACGGGCTGAGTGCGGCGGTGTTCACCAACGACATCAACTGCGCGCATCGGGTCACTTCCGCCCTCGAGACGGGCCAGGTCACGGTCAATGCGTGGTCGCTGCTGAGCGCCAACGCCCCGTTCGGTGGCGTCAAGGAGAGTGGTTTCGGTCGGGATATGGGCGAGGAGGCCTTGGACTGTTGGACGACCGTCAAGTCGGTCAAGTATAGTATTGCGCCGCGGTTGTAGTTCCACCTACTCTGTGACCTTAACGTAGTCATGCAGACTCTTCAAAAATTCAAGGTTTTCCAAACAACAGCTGAGAGTTTACACTCGAATCTACAACGCAAAAGCTCACTTGCTCCATCTCTGGAGGCGTAAGCCTAATAGCAGGGGGCGGGAGGGGGTGGGAGGTTTGAGACCACTTCTCCTCACTTCTGGCGGGGCATTAAACACCTTGGGATGCCTTCATAGACGCCTTAGGTCGGATTCTCAGAGATGCAAAACCTTTGATTGGTGGCCCCGGCAGGATGAAGCTCGCACGGCTATTGGAGGTTATTCAGGAGCAATGCAGAGGGCTGTCGTGGAGAGCCTCGATGGATAGCCTTTAGCATTTCCAGCCGCAGTAGTCAGTATTTGTATGTTTTGCATGTCATTTGAGAACAATATGCTCAACGTTATCCGCACATGATTTGGGGAATATGTGAGGTGAGTGAGCTTGGGCCGTAGAACGTGGTGTTGAGAAAAACATTGTATCATGATCCACTCAAGTTATAAGCACTTGAGCTACGAAAGAGAATGAATCCCCAAAGGGCTAGGTAACCAGGACCCACATTGTTAGAATCCTATACTGGCGATCGTACTAAGTAGAACTCTCATGTACATGGGAAGCGCCTGGCACCGCCACAACCAAGCTGTGACTTACCAGCCACAATATGGCTGATGAGTCATAACCAGGTCAGTTGAAGCAACACGTTCACAGTTCCTCCTATGACTCGAAGATATACCTGCAGATACAGGCCATAGTTTCTCCCAGATCCCCTCTACTCTAATATGGTATATCCATGCTGATATTTCGAGCATCTCTGTAACCCGGCAAGATCGGATCTACGCCAACAACCGGAAAAAGTTAAGGAGTCAAGCCAACCCCAAGGCTACAAACCATTCGATAAACTATAGAATAACAGACTCTTCTCCTTGCTCAAGCCAGAGTAATAGCCCCGAAATTGGACCGTGAGAGAAGCAATATCCCCCCCTCCCGAACCATGCCATCCCACGCCTCGTATCCGAACAAGCCGCATTCCACCCACCCCCCCTTCCACGGAGTCCCCTCTGCACCGTACCCTGAACCGCCTTACATACTAGGTCAACAACCACCATTTTAGACGAATGGTGAGGCTCTTGCGCCGGAAAACTTCCGGAAAACCTACATCCACCCTATTGCTCCCTATTCTTCAGCACACACGAGGTCGCTCCACCCGGAATCCTTCAGCACGGAGCAAAGGATGAATATGGTCATTGGCCGGTATTCCTTCTCCGAACAAAGCCCGAGCCGGTGTCTTGCTTTCCATTGAATAAGGTTCTAGGGAGTCCATAGCTTCAGAAACGGTGTGCAGCTTCTGGAAAGGGTCGTGGGTGCTGCATCGGAAGTCCCGCCCCGTATAGTGTATAGTGTGTCCAATGCAATGCGGCGATTTGTGCCCGCTTAATCAGCAACAATGCATGCATTAGCCAGCAAACTACTATGCCCGGGTGCCTTCAGAACGTAAATGTGGGCCAGTGGTAACTTTTTATGACCGCCTTCATTTACCTCTACCGCTTCCTCTATAGGCATGATCTGAAGCTCTTCCACAAATGCCAATCATGGATTGTGATAAAACCGGCAGATCTCAAATTATCTAATCCAGTTCCACTTTTACGTTCTCAAGGCACCTTACCGAGTAGTAGTCGAGTCATTCAACCACCCCCATCTACGACTACGTCTTCGCAAGACTGACATGGACATGACCGCTGATCCCAGCAGCACATACACCAAAAACCAGCGCACTGCTTGAGTTCTTATTATCAATCTTTAACAACCTGCGAGCGCTGATCCCGTATCCACCATGGAAGAATAATATCCACTCCCCGTGGATCATAACCTCGCTCATTAAGATGGAGATCTCTACTAGACATTCTGCCCAGTCTTCTGCGCATGAACTACAACTCCTTCATGTCTCAAGTATAGAATTCAACTCGGATGTATCCATATACACCATCTACAACCCCATCTTGGCATTTCACCCGTTGCTATCTGAACAGGAAGCATTTGGCGAATCTGCCTCCGCCAAGGTACTCGGTGGGCAAGAGTCCTCGGGAGTGGACGCGGTGTGGGGCGGAAAAGTTTGGGGTAAGCCGGGAGTCGGGACTGACGCGCCTCACCTCACTGGCCCCGGCCATGACAATAGGTTTCTGATAATGTCAACCTCGACGTTGAATACCAGCCAATCAATCGTTGGCATCTGATAAGCCTTTCGGTTCGTCGAATATACCCGACTGGTAAGATGGGGTGATCAGAGTGCGAGGACAAGAATGTCGCCAAGGTATGTATGTCTTGGTTCTTTGGCAGACATAGTGACTCAGTGCTTGAGGTGTCAGGATGGCTTCGATGTGGGATGTATGGGCTGACTGACTGCAGAGCAGCGATGCGATATCGGTTCAGGGATGAATCGCGTTGTTTTGTTTTACGTTCCGGTGCATAAAGAAGCAGGAGCATTGATTGAAGACCCCTGTAAGCAGCATAAGCAGTAGCAAAGTATAAGTATAGTCCACCCCTCCGGATCAACTGATCGATGCATGCAGCGAGGGAGCTTCTCGCCGACGGCCTTGATTGGGAGCGATAAGATCTCCATGGAAAGGCCGCTTAAAAACAGAGTTGCAGCAGCGCCACGGTCAGCATCCCTGCATAACCTTGGGATGGGCCAGGCACCAGGGCGGCCCTCGGACGTAAGAATACCAAATTCGACCGTGGCACCGACCGACACGAGCAACCTCAATCTAAATTGTCCCGAGGGGAGCAAGCAAGGCCGACAGGAATTTGAGTTTGCATCCTTCCAGTTTGTGCAGTCTGGATGATTTGATGTCGGGATGCCGCCGTGGGGGTTTTCATGTCTATATGACTCGTGTGATAAGGAAGGCAAGCTGAAAGCTGGAACCGTAAACGTAGGCTATGCCATAGGCTGGCACTTAGATTATTATTTGCCTTCCGGTGGACAGCCTATCGGATACTAGCTTGGCGCTAGACCCGCTCCGGTCGAGCCCCGAGGGCCCTAATCCCGGTCTCCGATATCGATCCGACCTCCTTCTTTTCCCTCCTTCGCCGTCCCCTGGATAAGTTGAAGTCTGCTTCATCTGGTGCTTCGGTTGTTGCAGACGGCTCAAGAGCTGGCAACAAGAGACGCAACATCAGACTGGTGCTGTATCACCCAGTGAGTTGTTGGGTTTGGGTCAATGATCTGACCTGCGCCATGTTTCGGGAAACGATAACAAACACAGTTGCGGGATGCGGGAAAGATTTTTCTTGGGCTCGTTTAGAGTTTGCCGGTCCAAAGGAAAACCGCGGAAAGCGTTTCAAAGATAGATTGCCTCCAATGAGTCCAATCGGCCCAAATGATGTCAAGGCTGCTTAATCATTCCTGCCTTGACAACCTGGCAGCTCTGGCTGGCTGGGTCAGGACTCTCAGGAGTCCTCCCACTCCCTTTCCCCCCTGAAAGTCGGCACTCGCGGGGTTTCCTGGGGTTGCCACTCCTGAATTTGGGCTCTCACTCCAGGTCAGAGAAACCACTCGAAACCAGATCATCAAAATGTGTACACGTTTCCCATGCTGTTGAATATGTGTAGATGGTACAAACAGCCCTATGAGCGCACACAAAAGAATAAAAGTTTCTACCTTTTTTCTAAGTGTGCCGATCGCTGCCATCTCAGCAGGTGCAAGGGCACACAGTGTCTCCTCGAGGGCGGCCTCTTGGATCGATCGCCGCGATCGGCCGAGGGAACCACGTGTGCGCTGGAGCACTGCTCTCCCAATCCGGACATTGTCCATGCGCGACATTGTGTGTTTCGACTCTTCGAGGTTCACTGGTGGGCCGTGTACGCCGTAGCCCTGGGTCTGGCTTCACCATTGGAGCCCGTGTTGATTTCCACCAATTCTTATCAGCCAGAAGGTCCCTTGTCCCTCGAGTCATTTTAGAAGGGGCTTGTTCCCCCAGTCGCCTCTCTTCTCTTTCTTT